GTTAAAATGTGTATTTCAATCTAGTACCTTATTGTAGTGACTTCTTACAGTATAAAAGTGACGATAATATATATAATTTATATATTTATCTCTGTGCAATAAAAACTCATGTGCATATACTTCAAAGTACTCAGTTAGTGGCTGCATAATAAGGAATATTACCTAGACTCCTGTAACCAAGAGCCATACCTTGCCATACCATTTGCAATATTTCTCGTCAAAAATTTAAAACTTCCTTGCAAATGTATTCATCGAAAGTACCTTTAAAATCATGATTTTATATGTACTAAAGTGGTTGAGATTTTCATGGTTAATGGATACCTGTGGCTCTGTTTTGAATTAACTATTTTCCTTAATGTAGATTTCTTTAACTTGTCTTTTAATTTAGATTAGATGCTTCTTAATCTATTAAATCATTAAGTTTTTCTTATTTTACCTTTTAATTTTTGCAAATTAGTCATGTCAAGTATTTGTTTCTAATTAACTGAAAATCGCAAATGCTTGAAGTGTTAATACTAGCACTAAAGCACTGTTATCAACAGGAGTTAATAGCTTAAAGTTGTTAAAATTTACTGATATGTTGCATTCTTTAAAATGTATGCAAATTCACCATCATTGAAAATAGTACCTTAAAAATCAGGGGACCAGCATTGTGGCATAGGGGTAAACCTCCCACCTGCACCTCCAGTATCCCACATGGGCGCCAGTTTGATTCCTGGCTGCTGCACTTCTAGCCCAACTCCCTGCTAATGCTCCTGGGAAAGCAGTGGAAGTTGCCCCAAGTGTTGGGATCCTTGCACTCATGGGGGAAACCCGGAAGAAGCTCTTCTCTCCTGCCTTTTGCATGGCCCAGTGCTGGCTATTGTGGCCATCTGGAGAATAAACTAGCAGATGGAAGATCTCTCTCTCTCTCCCATTATCTCAGTAGCTCTCACTTTCAAATAAATAAATAAATCTTTTGAAAAAATTAACACTGCATTGGTATTTATGTTCAAGCAGAATTGAAGAATGGATAATGCATTCTGGCTTAAAATAATATGAAACAATACATACATATGCATGGTATATATATATGGTTAAAGAGGACAATGAAATAATCAGTTGATACCATTGATTCAGTATCAATGCTATATTTTAAAATTTCACTTCTTGAAATATTTTTTATTTGAAATTATTAAGTGAAGCATTAAAACCCAATTTTTTTTCGGGATCTTTAATTGCTAAGTACAGTCCCAGGCCTTTGGAGCTGAGGGTTTGGCTGAGGCATTTGGCCACTTGGGATGTCTGCATCTCAGAGTGCCTTGGTTTGAGCTCTGGCTGCAGTTCTAATTCCAGCTTGCTGCTAATGTGCACCCTCAGAATCAACAGGTGGTGATTCAAGGAGGGGGTCCCTGCCACCCAGGAGAGAAACCTGAGTTCATCTCCTGGCCCAGTCCCAGCTGTTAACAGGAATTTGGGAAGTGAATCAGTGATGGGAGTACTATCCTTGTCTGTCTGTTTTTCTGCCTCTCAAGTAAATAATAATAATAAAAATAATACTAATACTAATAATAGTAATGAAGAACTGAGGGCTTTTACTTTAGAAGAGATGGCATTGGGTCCTGTGTTGTGGCACAGCAGGTTAAGCTACCACCTGAGAGGCCAGCATCACATATGAGCACTGGTTCAAGTCCCAGCTGCTCCACTTCCAATCTAGCTCCCTATTAATGCACCTGGGAAAGCATCAGAAGATGGCTCAAGTACCTGGGCCACTGCACCCACGTGGGAGATCCTGAGGGAGCTCCAGGTTCCTAACTTTGGCCCACCCCAGTCCCAGTCATTGTGGCCATTTGGGGAGTGAAACAACAGATGGAAGATCTCTCTCTCTCTTTCTGTAATTCTGCCTTTCAAATAAATAAATAAATCCTTTAAAAAAATGAGATGACTCCTTCCATTAGAAAACACTATTTCCATATTGTTACAGTATAGTCTAGTTTATATCCTTACAGTGGTCTCCCTTTATTTGTGGTGGACATGTTCCAAGACCCCTACTGGATGCCTGAAACCAAAATATATTCTACCCCCCACACCACCATGTATACATGCCTATGATAAATTTTAAATGACCAATTAGCACAGTAATAGATTAACAACCATAATAACAGAAATGCAAAAATCATAATGATCCACTATAATGAAAGTTATTTAAAGCTCAGGAATTGTTTACTTCTAGAATTTTCCATGTAATATTTCCATACCATGGATAACTGGAACTGTGAATGAGGGAACTATGAAATAAATCCACATAATTGCTTTGGTCACATGTTTATTAATGAGTCTATATTTTCACCAAGATTCATAGAAAATTGTCTCCTAAGTCTCATTTCTTGCTAATTTACTTGAGGAACCAAGACCTAAGTCCACGGGTGAAATTCGCAGATGGGATTTCATATCTGTGACTGGCAGTCTTAATGATTTTCGGGGTCAGACACACAGCATCACTGGCAGAGATAAAGAATCAAATGAAAAGTCAAGGGATAATGGCTAGTTGTGCATCTCATTCCCTTTTTCTCTACTTTCAGACAGAAATACACTCTAGTAGCTGTCACTCAGTCTCACTGCTTGGGCTGTTTCTGCCTGAGCTGTGAGTGACAGGGCCGGATATTGCTGTCTGAATTGCTAAGCATCCTCCAGGCAAAGACAATAATTAAAATATTCTGATTTCAAAGGGGGTAATTTTTTTGGCTCAATAATGTGACATAAGTGGATGAGAATACAGAATCAATTTTTAGTACTGCGCCATGTTAGTGGAGCACCTTTTTGTTTTGCCATTTAGTTACTCCTATCACATGTATGTCACACAGCCATGCATATTCATGTATGGTATATGTATATGCATGGGGAGTTTATAATGTTAAAGTGCTCTGTTATCTATTTATGAATCAATGAATGGTAGCATTTAGAAGAAAATCCTAGTCACCGTTGACTAACTGTTCCCCAGCATGTTTTATCTGATGTAAATTTAATATATTCCCATTCACATTTAAAGTGGGAGATAGTAAAATGAGATAGATGCATTTAATATGTAAAGGATTTCTGTTTTAATCTAACACAGTGCTAGTATTTTTACAATTTACGTCATTCACAAAAATTTACTGTGCAGATATTACAGTCAATATGAGATAGACCTGCAATCCAGCTGGGTTTCCTTTGGCTCTTGCTCCTGAAACTATGTGTTTTCAGAGACAAGTTGCTTAGTGGTGATTGACCCAAGGTGGCTCCCAAGGTTTAAAATCATCATTGTTACTCCAAATATGAGATGTTCTGTGCAATGGGATAAGGCTCATTTTGATGATTTGGGAGATTTGTAAACATTGGAAAACCTATTTGATATGGTCCCTTGGTCCCTCCCCTTCCCCTATGCAGTTGTATAAGAGATCATCAAGAAGTTCATGGAAAATGCATAAGATGAGAAAAATTTCTGCATGAGTTTCAAAAGATTTTACACAAAAATAAATACTCTTTTAATTCTATTTAATATCAAACTGACGTGCCCTCATGTTAACATCTAAAACACCAGCTGCTCCACTAGCTGGCTTCAAGGTAGTGCACTTATCTGACCTTTCACCATTTGCATCAATGTTGGAGTAGTTGTCCTCAACCTAGGGCATTCATTTAGCATTCAGAGGCACAGACTCACATGTCTGTGGCTTTCAGAGCTGTGTGTGAACCGAGCTGGACATGAAAGATTAGAGAGTGGTGCCTTGTATAGATTGCAGCCTGTAAGCCCTCTTAACAGTATTCAGATTGACTTACGAGCAGAGACAGATGGCAATATCTCAGCCAAAGAAAACATTTGGATATTAATTAATGCAACCCAAGGCTGCAAGTTTATAATGCTTAGCAAAAATTAAATGTTGGTAGATATTTGAGTACCTCAGAAGTCGGTATAACATTAACATATTAACAGAGTTTGGTTAAATACTTACTATTCAATTTCTTTGTTTATTCCTTCTATGAGCAACACTAATGAATTTCAAAGAGAGTGAGGCAGTACAATCCATGATACTTGTCCTCAGAAATATTCCATGAACCATAAAAAAGAAAGTATATGGGAAGCCATGTCTCAAGACCTGTTTCCCAGTCAGATAGGACTGTCCCTGTTTTGTAAATGGAAACATGTAAGTCACCAGGGATACTTAAATGTGCTGTAAAAGTTTTCCAAGAAATTAGGTTACATGCTTTGGAAGTCTAGCCCTTCAGAGTTGATCTTGGAGATTAGAATGGTTTTTAAGTGCATCCCGTGTTCTTTGTTTCTTGGAGGGGAAATGGCAGAGAAGTCACCCACCTTTCCCAGAAGGCACTGGGAGGTTTTCCTGTATCTCACTCTCGGGTGTGAAGGTCTTCAGGGAGCTGATTTGGCCATTGTGGCTGGCCAGGCCTCGGTCTTCTTCCCTCTCTCCTCTTTGCCCTCCTTGATCAACCTGGGGGTGAGGCTTCTCTTCCAAGCCAGAGCCTTGGAGGACAACCTCGGGTCCATTTGTTGTGTGTGACTCTTAACCCTTTCCTATCCCCTCAGCTGTATGACCACGATGTCCTGGGGAGCTGCTTGCACTGAGAGTCTCAGGCTGTGCTCAGAGCGTCCAGCACTTGCATCAGCTGGACAATCCAGGCTCTGTGCACCACTTTTCCACCTTCTCCATCCTTCATTTTTGTTTTTGCTATTTCTCCCTATTCAGCAGCTCCGTGTGAATAGATTGGATTATGAGTTAATGCAGGCCTATGGGTGGTTGCTAGGACAAAAAACCAGGGCTTTGTTTGGGGAGTGACATTTGCTCTCCAGCCTTCTCCTAGAAACAGAAGAGCTTTTCCTTCTTAAGTAGGTTTTTCTTTCCCCCGCTTTTGGTATACAGGTGATGGTTGTACCGGCCCTGTGTGTATCACAAGGGTTCCCTGCAGGCTGATGGCGAACAATGTTCGGATGAGCTGTTGGCTGAGTGTTTCTGTGTTCAATTCCACAGGAGGCGACCGGGATCGGATGACAGCGAATCATGAGAGCTATCTCCTCATGGCGAGCACCCAGAATGATATGGAAGACTGGGTGAAGTCCATTCGCCGAGTGATATGGGGCCCTTTTGGAGGAGGTGAGTACATCTTAAATCAAGCCTGTCTACCTCTTTGCACAGCTGATGTGACTATCATCTCTTGAAGCCGTGTTAGAACAAACAGCAAAGTGCTCAGCATTATTGTTAGACGTTTAGGTACTCCTAGAGACTTTAGATCACACAGCGTTAATAGCCAACCTTTTTGCCATGAATATTTTGAATTTTAAAAGTGGATACTATCTTTCTTTTAGTTTTGAATTTTTTCCATTTTACCAACAACAGAAGCATCCTAGATATGAAACAAATATTGGGGGCTATTAGATTTGGAAGCAATCCCAGCCCCTAACTGCTCTGTGGAATGGCAGAAGTTGGGATAAGAATCTGATGATTATTGCTATTAAAAAAAATAAAGTTTGGAGCAGGTGTTTGTAAATTTGGTAGTAATAAGGTTTTTTTTTAATCTTAATGTAATGTTGAGAATACAGCATATATAAAATAAGCTTAAATGTGCTATGCACAGAACTACAATGAGGAAGGAAAGATAAAGATATGTTCTTAGTCTATCAAGCAATATAAAATGAAATGATGGAAACAGAAAAATCATTCGAAGAAAAAAATGTACAGTAAATGGAATCAAAAAAGAAGATACAAAAATATTTATGTACAAACAACATGTACTTCCAAGAATGTAAAGCATAATTCTTTTATGTTGATGTAGTTAAAAATAAATTGTATTAAATCAAATTCATGGGGCTAATGTTGTGGTGTATAGAGGGCAAAACCACCAACTGTGGTGCCAGGATCCATATGGGCCCTGGTTCCAGTTCCAGCTGCTCCACTTCTGATCCAGCTCCCTGCTAATGTGCCTGGGAAAGCATCGGAAGATGGCCCAAGTGCTTGGGTCCCTGTACCCTCAGGGGAGACCTGTAAGAAGCTCCTGGCTCCTTGCTTCAGCCGAGCCCAGCCCCAGCCATTGCAGCCATCTGAGAAGTGAACCAAGAGATGAAAGACCTCTCTCTCTCTCTCTTCTTCTCTCTCTATATCTCTGCCTTTCAAATAAATAAATAAAGTTTTTTTTTTAAATAAAACTCACATTCATTAAGGGAATCCTATATTTATATATTTTTTAAAATTTATTTGAGAGACAGAGAGAAAGATAACTTCTCTCCACTGGTTCACTCCCCGAATAGCCCCAATAGCTAAGCTAGGGCCAGGCCAAAGCCAGAAGCTGGGAACTCCATCCTGGTCTCTCATGTGGGTGGCAGGGGCCCAAGTACTTGGGTCATCGTCTTCTGCCTTTCTGGGTACTACATTATCAGGAAGCTGGATTGGAAGTAGAACAACCAAGACTCGAACTGGCAATCCAATATGGGATGCCAGCATTGTAAGCAGTGTCATAATCTGCTGTACCCCCATATTTATATTATATTCTCTTTTGTGTATTGTCAGCATCCAGAATTCAGAAAGTCAATGTTTTTCCTCTGCTTAGACTTATTGATCATTCTACATTTTAAAATAATATTTCAATGCTTAGTTTAAAAAGTTAAAAATATTATATTTAAAATAGTAAAGATTCATTGGCAACATGTTGAATATTTTACTAGTTTAATAATAACTATCCACAAATCACCTGCTTTGCAGCAGCACCTTCTGTTGGGAGAGGGGGTGTCCTAACCAGAGTGACCTTGGCTCCTGGCTGGCCTGGAAGCAGTCTGGTTTACACCTGGCCTCCTGGGCAGAGTGTTAATAGCTCTACCGTTCACTCTCACTGTGCCCTAGCTTGAATGACATCATGTGTGACCACCCTATCATACCTATGGTGGCACATGAATGTGGGAAACATTTGAAAAGACCTGCAGGCTGAAATCGCCACCCCAGAGGCCCGGGTGAGGATTTCTCGTGATAGAAGCAAGAGACATGTATTTAAGTAGGCCAAACTGACAGGTACCCTCCAGGGCCAAGGATTGGGGGGGACCCCGGGGTTGTGTCTTGTCCAAGTTCCTGTTGCTTCTAACAACCTGCTTCCCCCTCTGTCACAAGATTGCTGGGGCTGCATGAAATCACAAGAAACCTTAATTCCTGCAGAAGCACGTGGCTGTGTTGAGGGATTTTTCCATCGTATCCCGCGTTCTCCGTTTTCTCCTCTTACAAAGGAGATCCAGTGAGCATTTCCAAATAAGTGGCCCCAGACAGTCCCATCAGCCCCGAATTCTGAGAAATAACTCGCGGGGGCCTTAGCGAGAGCTGCATATCAAGACTGTGGTCCTGGATTAGTTTATAGACTCTGTGTTTTGGGACGTACTTCAGGAGTTTTACAAATATTTGATTCAAACTAACTAAGATGTATTTTAGCCTAGAGTATTCATAATAAAAACAATGCTCTCAAGAATAAATTTTCTCTGCTCTCCTTAATTAGAGATTGTGATGAGAATGCAAGACAAGCCTTTCAAGTTTTCATTTAATTTACAAGAGATCCTTTGTGATTCCTCTGGATATCAGAAGGTTCTAAAATCAATACAGAACACGGAACCAAACTGAATGTTGACACTAATATGAGTTTGGGACTGTCACTCATAATCTTGGGTTTCCAGTGTTCATGTTAATGTTAATTAATTCTATGCTAATTTATTGAAATGTAAAGAAATGTCAAAAATTTTTTAAGCAATTAATTTGTATGACTAAAAACCCTTTTAATTTTCTTATATATTAAGATTATATTTAATATTAATATTTCATTGAAAAAATTTTCTATTTCTGCAGAATACTTTAAAACCAGTATTCAGTTCAACCCTGCCTTTTATGTATTATGTAATTACGACCCAGGGTGGGTGAGTAGCAGAACTGGGAAGAAACCCATGTCTTCCTCGTGCTTTAAAAAACAGTAGGGTGATCTACTACTTTTACTGTGGTAGTAAAAACCCCACAATTACAATCCCATGTCTAATTGATGGCATGTTCTTCAGCACATGAAAATCAGGAGTTTTGAAAGTATGATAATTAGAATTATATCACTTGGTGTATCCTTCAAAAATATCTGAATTGACAACATCAAGAATGCAATAAAAAGTGAAAGCATGGGGCTGGTGCTGTGGCTCACTTGGTTAATCCTCCACCTGCAGCGCTGGCATCCCATATGGGCGCCGGGTTCTAGTCCCAGTTGCTCCTCTTCCAGTCCAGCTCTCTGCTGTGGCCTGGGAAGCTAGTGGAGAATGGCCCAAGTGCTTGGGCCCTACACCCGCATGGGAGACCAGGAGGAGTCACCTAGCTCCTGGCTTTGGTTTGGCACAGGCCTGCCAGCCGTAGCAGCTATTTGGGGGGTGAACCAATGGAAAAGGAAGACCTTTCTCTCTGTTTCTCTCTCTCACTGTCTAACTCTGCCTTTCAAATAAAAAAAAATGGATAAGTAAAATGAGGTTCAGTATTGGCTTAACGACACTTAGGTCAAGTATGGACGTGTATATGAGAGTGGTCCCTAGTGATGTCATCGCCATCTTAGTTGCTCAGGCATATTCTGATGGTCATACAATGATAAAATTGACTGATGATCATCTCTCCATCACTAAGCAACACGTGACTATATATCCATAGGATGGGTTCTTATTCAGCCATGAAAAAGAAATGAAATACTGATTCTTGCCACAAGATGAATGAACCTTGAAAGCATTGTGGTTAGTGAAAGAAGCCAGTCACAAAAGACCAAATATTATCTAATTCCATTCAACAGGGAAATCTGTAAAGGCAGAAAGTATATTACTGGTTACTTAGGTCTGGGATGAAGAGCTACAGGTGTAGCCAAAAGGTATAGTGTTTCAGGAATTGACTGGTGATGGTTGTCGGTATCTGTGAATATACTAAAACGCATTGACTCATATGCTTTAAGTGAGTGAATTTTATGGTATGTGAATTATATCTCAATAAAGCTGTTAAAAATATCTGAACTGGCATAATTTACTCTCATGAGAGGGCACATTTCCTTTTCTATATTATTTGTGGACACCTTAATCCTAAACAATGATTTCTTGGCTTCCAACCTCCTTCCCCACTGCTCATTGATAACAATGATTAGATGGGACCAGTGGCATCAGAGAAGGTTACCACACATCACCATGATTTATCCATTACAATATTCAATTTAAATTTTAAATGTGTCTATTACTTCACTGTGGCAGTTTCATATCTTATGTTTTTAGTAACTTAATGTTTTTCATAAATCACTTAAGTTTATCTTTGAGTAGGTCGTATTATATGCAAAACATTTCCTCTTTGCCATTACAATAATGGAGATACGATTACATGGAGGTTGCTGAAAATTGCATCTCTTAGAAAGTTAAAACTGTTTTGTGAAAATCATAAAATGTAGGCCTGTGTAGTTATAGGCCTTTTCTTTTATTAAACAAAGCCAAGTTATAACAGATATTCACTCCTAACATGTATATATAATTGTCAATCAAAATTTAAAAACAAATATTCAGATGGCAGAAAGGAACCAATAGAAGTATGAAACACAGACTTCCTTTTAACTCACGGACCAATTTGGTATTGAGTCTAGGTACCTCAACTGAGTGCTAAATGCTCAGTGCCACCCCCAAACAGTCAATTCTGAGTTATCATTGCTAACCTGGAGTCATGGGTTTCTGCTGTAAACTGAAGCCCAAAAATTAGAAGGTTGAAACACTGATTTAGCTGCTCTTGGAGAAGTTTTTCTTCTCTTCTCCACCTCTCTTTGTTTCTTTTCCATTGTCTGTGAGTCAGTATTGTAGAAGTGCCTAGTTGGGTTCCAGGAGAGTGAGAATTCATGAATCATTCATTAGATCTGAGTGCTGAGCCTCACTTGAGCCCCCAACAAAATCAGACCCCTCCTGCATCTTTCTGCCTCCTCGGAGACCCAGCAAGGCAGTGCAAATCCTCCTTGTGAATAAGGTTATGATGACTAAGGGACCTGTGGGCAGACAAGGGTTAATTCCAAGGCACTGTGGTCTTGCCTCACAACCAGAGCAGCTGTGTGATCCTGGATATGTGCTTTTGCTTCCGTGTGCTTC